AGAGAGAGAGAGAGAGAGAGAGAGAGAGAGAGAGAGAGAGAGAGAGAGAGAACAGAAAAACAAAAACAAAACACACTAAATAGAGTCTCTATATACAAAAACTAGCCCCCTCCTCCTCTCGTCTCCTCCACCCCCTGAACAACATGAACGACAGCAAAAGCAACAAAAGAGAATTAACTCGACTATCACTGCATCCACCACCACCACCACCACCACCACAAACAACAACAACAACAACAAAATAAACGTAAACAACATCATAACAATTACCATCGCAACTAGCATCACCACCTCCGATAACAATAGCAATAAAAACCACCGCTACCTCAAACAACAACACTATCGTCACCACTACCACCACCACCACCACCATCACCAACAATAACAGCAAAAACAAAAAAACAGTACCAACACCAGCTCCAACACCATTACCATATTCATTACGACCACATCCGCATTCAACAATAACACAATAAAAAAACCCTACTCATCCAAACAACAACACCTCCACCACCACCACCGCCGACAACAACAATAACAACAACATCAACAACAACAGCAACAGCAATAACAAAATCAACAACAGAAACAACAGGAACAATAACAATAGCAACAACACTAAAGAAAACAACACAGTCACCATTAAATACACCACTTCTTCTGCCAACAGCAATAAAAACCACCCCTCCCCCCCCAAAAAAAAGCTATTAAAAAAACGAACGACAAAAACAACAACTTAATAAACGTTACTACATGAAACAAATCAACCCCCCCCCCCAAAAAAAACACACCCCTCCCCCACCCGATTCAAACCCCCACCACCCACAAACATTCCCCTGTAATAAGCCCATTCACTCACCACACTGCCTACAGTCCTCTCTGTTGCAGGGGGCGGTCTGGAAGGACTGACCATCACACTGACGTCCGCACAGGTTGGCCGGAGGGGCACTGCATGTCCTTGACCTTGTGTAGGTGCCTGGCCCACAGCTAGCGCTGCACTGGCTCCAGGAGCTCCACATGGCCCAGTTTCCGTGTTCTGTAACATGGATAGACAACATTAAAACACGGTGCAGGAGAGTCAGGTGAAAAGAATGAGTAACACGAATGAACAACATTAAAACACGGTGCAGGAGAGTCAGGTGAAAAGAATGAGTAACATGAATTAACAACATTAAAACACGGTGCAGGAGAGTCAGGTAAAGACAAAGAGTAACATGGATGAACAGCATTAAAATACGGTGCAGGAGAGTTGGGGGAAGATAAAAAGTAACATGGATGGACAACATTAAAACACGGTGCAGGAGAGTCAAGTGAAAACAAAGAGTAACATGGATGAACAGCATTAAAATACGGTGCAGGAGAGTCAGGTAAAGACAAAGAGTAACATGGATGGACAACATTAAAACACGGTGCAGGGGAGCCAGGTAAAGACAAAGAGTGACATGGATGGACAACATTAAAACACGGTGCTGGAGAGTTAGGTAAAGACAAAGAGTAACATGGATGGACAACATTAAAACATGGACTGGCCTGGTCATAGTAGAATGTTCAAAGGCAGGTCGTGACCGTGAAGGATGGAGGGTCATTGGATGTCAATCTCTGATTCAGAGATGACACCTCCAGCTCGAGGCCAGGTAAGGTATTTTTTTTAAAATGATCATTTTTTTAAAGAGAAGAGAAGAGAACAGAAGAGATGTACACACACACAAACATACTACCAGACAGACAGACAGACAGACAAACAGACAGACAGCTGAGAGACTGACAATAGATTGAACACAGACTGACTACCAGACAGACATGTAAAAAGACAGTCTAATAGGCAGACAGACACACAGATGAACAGAGAGGCAGACAGGCAATTAAACAGCTAGACTGACAAATCGACTGACAGATAGACAGACAGACAGACAGGCAGACAGACAGAGACACCATGCCTCATCTTATTCTTCTCTTTATATCTATCCCTCAAGCTTTTTGCTCCTCCGACTCCCATACTCCATATCATCCTCCTGCTAAGTCTCACCTCAGCCCCCCCTCCCCCAATCCTCCCATACACATACAATATACACATATATGTACACACACACACACACACACACACACACACTCACACACACACATGCACACACACACACTCACACACACACATACACACACACACACACACTCACAAACATGCACATACGTACACACACACACACACACACACACTTACGTTCTCTCGGTCCACAATTCTGCAGCTTGGACTCCACAGGGTCTCCGAAACACTCCCTGCCACATCCATTGGGAGGCGGGTTGCTACACGTACGTGACCGGCTGACCGTTGAGTCACCACAAGTAACGGGACAGTTTGACCACGGACCCCAGCTGGCCCAGTTACCATCCACTGGGAGAGAGGAGGCAAAGGTAAAATGAAAAAAAAAATTAAAAAAACAAACCCAAAACAAGCAGAAAAAAGCCCTAAAACAGCAAAA